AAACACAAAAATTAAAAATTAAAAGTTCCAATTAATTGGGTATAAAATTTTAAAATAAATACTTAAAATTTTAAATTTAATTAATTTATAAAATTTTTTAATTTTATTCTAAAATTTTTAAATTTTTAAAAATCAAAATAAAAATTCTAAATTATAATTATAATAAACGAAGAGTAAACAAACCCCTTATTTCAGAAAATTTACCACTGAACATAGGGCGGTTTGGTTTTTGGGAATTTGGGCAACATTTATTTTGGTATGGTTAGCTACTAGGCTACTATCATTATTGCTTTTACTTCTCTCAATTCAAAATTTTAAAACGAATGCCTTAAGTTAACCAAATAAAAAGCCAAAGAGGACAGGGAAAAAAATCGTCCTATTGCGGGTGAAATCTGATTTGCTTATTTTTTACGTTAAATTGGTGTCTGTGGGAATTCGAAGTTTTAGATTTCGTGGTACAGACTACAAAATTAAACATTGGCGTCTTTCTGTTCTGTCTTTTTTTCTTTTCTTTTTTTTCTGAAAATTGTTCCTGCTGTCTGGTTCTTGATACGAGGAGGTTTAGAGATTCTGATCTTCTTTGACTTGTCTTTTTTTTTTTTTTTTCGTTGCGATTAAGGTCTTAAATACGAATTAACTCTCTTCCATCTGCTTGATTAATTGAAGGTGGGATTTGGGAAGGTGTTGTTTTTGGGTCATTAAGAAATGAAGAAACAAAAAATAAATTACAAAAAACAGAGCTGAGAAATGAAGGATGAAGCTAACCTTTCATGGAGGAAACGGCGTTTGTGACTCTTCTCTCGCATCCATCACAGTCCATCTTCACCTTGATTTCTACCGTCTACAAACAAACAAACAAAAACCTCTTTTAGAAAACCATGAACAGGAGAAGAGAACACCAAAGAAGATGAAGAAAAACAAAGTGAAAAGTAATATTACATATGTTACCTGCATTACTTTACGCTTCTTCCTTTTGCTGGAAACACTAATGAAGTCGGAGATATAATCAGAGAGAGAGTCGAGAGCACCCATATTTGTTTTTCCCTTTTCTACTATTTTCAACTTTGGCAAAAGCAAAGAGTTTGTGATTGAGAGAAAAATAGAGGGAGAAAATGGGTTTGAGTTTGGAGGATGGAAACAGAGGAAAGGAGATGGGGTTGTATTTATAGGAGAGATGTTGGTCATGAAGGGAATTAAGAGAGATTGTGGAACAGGTTGGTGCATATATTTAATACTACTATAATAATGGTAGAAAATGACTAGTGTTCCTAATAATGTCATTCTTCAAAGGTTAAAATCCTATTTTAGTCCCTCAACTATTATACAGATTTCTGATTTAGTCCTTGAACTAAAAAAATTCTTGATTTGATCCCTATTGTTTACCATTTTGACCTCAATTTGGTCCTTCCGTTAAAAATTGACTTACGTGTCCCATTACCTGACGGAAAAAGATGACAGCATGGCAAAAAAACAATGATATGGCAAAAAAAACCTTAAAATATTTCTTTTTCCCTTTTTTTTTTCTTCCTTTGATTTTCCTTTTTTCCCTTTCGTCTTCTTCCTTTCCTTTCGCCTTCTGCAAACCCTAACAGCTTCTAACATTAAACCAAAAAATAATACAAATCTAGAATCTCCCCAGATCATCACCGCCCTAAATTCTTTCTTTCAACCTCCCCAAAAAAACTCAGAAATATCTAGGCATATTTTTTCAAAATTCAAGTTTCTAAACATAAATATTTAAAAATAAAAAAAAAAAAGAAATTAAACCCAGAAGATCGCTAGGTTTTTGAGAACCCAACAGATCGCTGGGATCTTGATCGAACCCAGTGATTTTGAGAACCCAGCAAATGTTCGATAATTACAAACAACCATATGGGCAAATTTTTTCCCTCAACTAATTTTTACCAAATTCTCAATGAGAACAGCCCACACAAACAAAATATTCATTAGCAAAACAATCAGCTGCAGCCCAAAAATATCCCTAAAATTCAAGCTTCTAAACATAAATATTTAAAAAAAAAAAATCAAACCTAGCAAATCGCTGGGTTCTCGAGAACCCAACAGATCTGCTGGGTTTGATTAATTGAACCCAGCATATCGCTGGGTTCTCGACAACCCAGCAGATCTACTGGGTTTCGAAGAGGAGATGATAAATGATGAAAGGAAAGAGATGATGAGGAGATGAGGAAAGGAGAAGATTAAAACCCAAGCCGGCAAACAAGGATCCAAGAGAAGAAGATGAACAACAAAAGAGGTTGGAGATGAAAAGTAAGGGGAAAGTAAGGGACAACGAAAGGAGGAAGGAAAGGAAGTGATGTGTGGTTGAAGAAAGAGTAAAAATGTAATTTTATCTTTATAATTTAACATTTAATAATTTTATT